GGGGGGGGGGGGGGGGGGGGGGGGGGGGGGGGGGGGGGGGGGGGGGGGGGGGGGGGGGGGGGGCACGTGAAGCGCTACAGAGATCAGCCACGAGTAGCGCGGTACCAACTCGAAGAAAGCAGCAGTTAGATCACACCTAAATTCAACCAGCACGTACCACGGACACGAAACGTTGGCAAAGCGGGTCGGTGTCAGTCTCCTATGAAGGCGTATACTTTGTCAACGACCACGAAGGTGATTGCACACACACACACACCACATGACGACGTGTCAACGGTCGATTGCTCCACAACGGAGACGGTGTGAAAACCGACCGATTGTTATTAATACTCTGTAGTAGGGAATTCTCGTGATCCCCACCCGTTTCGGCATTGACAGTATCATGGTTGCGGAACACCCGAGCTGTGAAAGTAGTCTGGGAGGGGTGAAATCACGCGCACGCTGACGCACACGCTACGCGTATCATTAGCCGAATCGTTGAGCATGATGGGCCAAGCCAGCGTCGAACTGCATTTTTCGGCACTCCCCGTGCCGTCGGTCAGAGAGAGAAGTCGAGGGGTTCTTTTTCTCTAAAACTCTTGGCACACCAGAAAGACTGACGTACGCACATATGGACGAGGATACGGGATAAAAACGCACAATCATTCCACTCTGTTGTGTATCGTAAATAGGTATGCACCAGGTTCTACATGTGGTTGTTGTATCTTTACAGCTTGGGACTCAAAAAATGGTGATTGCGATACACATCTACTGGACTTGAACATCACCATTGCCTTCGAGAGACCGATTCGCGGCCCTAACATCAAAAGACGCGTTTCTCGCTTTTAGTAGCACAAATGCTGACGTGTATTTATCGGTGGCGACCGGTGATCGAGGTCGATGCTACAATAACAAATCTCCCATTGCTAATCTCATTGCACGGGCCACGAGAGAGAGAAATAGCGACGCACCACGGACATACGTACCCACAGAACGATTTGTTGTTGTGCGCACCAGAGATCTATCTCATTACGTTCTTCGCAGAGTGTGTGTCCGTTAGCGAAGAGGAGGTAAGATACAGTATGAATGCCATGCGCGCAGAGGCCACGAACGAGACTAAGCAATACGCACGCCTCCGAATGTCTATTGTATCACCCATTTGATGTATGCGTACCGATTGAATAGCGTTTGATTTTCCGATTGAAATATGTAAGACGTGATGTGGCCTGCCCGACCCTCTGTGGCGCAACGAACTCCTATGTTTTCGTGTGCATACTTGAGTGCATGGTGAAGGAGGTACAGCAGTAGTAGTAGGAGTTTCACAACACTCACAAGCGGCTCTTCTCTCCATACTGCGCATCTGCCCTCAAAGATGATGATTTTGCCTCTGAGTGATGACATCATCCCGGTGTACTACTGATGTAGGAGGCATGCAGGATACCTCCACCATTTAGTGTGGATTCGGGATAATACAACAACAGTGCGCTGCTGCTCTAGGCCCCAAGTCACGCCATTCCGCGGACAAATGTGGCGAAGCTGCGCCATTACCAGTGGCTGGCGAAGCTGCATGACCTACACAGCAGTAGCTCGGCAAACGCGTAACAGCAATCAGTGCCCATTCGCTCAAGCACATGCAAAAACTCGGTGACCAAAGACGGCGAACGACGCAAGTATCTAAGGCAAGAAGCCATTCATGTTTGACTAATAAGAACGCATAGAACAGCAAACAGCAGCAGCTTTGATCTATAAAGATCAGTCTGCCAACGACCCGCACCTGAGTCGTTCAGCTTGGTGATGAGGCCCTCCCTCTCCGCGAGCAGCGAAAGCGCCGCTGCCGTTTTCTCCGGGCTGGACTTGACAGAGAGGTGCACATTGCTGTCGTTGAACACTTCCCCAAGGCCTGTCGCCTCGTACACCTTGTGTTTCAGCCGTTCGCTCCTCCCCGCCACAGCCGAAACCACAGTGCTCGCAGCATTCATCCAGTAGCCAGCAGCAAACTCTCCGCTCAACGCTTGCTTGTGTTTTAAAAAGCGGAGGCCATTCAAGGGGAAGATTCCCCCGGGTCGCTTCTCCACGGCGCAGGTCTCCCCTCGGCGATAAAACTAATGGATATAAAATCCAAAGGCCGACGTCGCCGTGTGAAGCCCAACCTGGACCCTATACGTAGTTACCAAAAGCGTGACAGCAGCCGTGGACGGACCGTGGACACAGCAGACCCAAAATCCGTACAACGGGGGCCCGAAACATACACCCTCTCCTCATGCTCGGGAACCATCCAGTCTGGCCGCCCCCCCGGGCAGCCCACCACCTGCTAGCTACCCTGTACCACAACCGCTTGTCACTCCCCTCCTTGTCCTGCTTCTCTCTCTGTCACCTTCTTCGAACACGCAGCAGCATTACGATGGCGTCAAACAATTTGTGGCCGATGCTCATCAAAATCATATTTCCGGTAAGAGAGAAAGAGAGAGCACATGTCGACGGCGGTGAAAAACGTCTGTGTAGTTGCTGCTGTTGCGCTGCGGCCGTTAATTAATGGAACAAATCTTGCAGAAGTACGACGTTGTCTACGACGCTAGAACATGCGGTGAACAAGTGCTTGAACCACATTAGGTTCCATGTCACGAATGATAGTCTGTCTTGGCGTGGGTGCGTTTTCACGAAGACGCGTGGCCATTCCCGAGCACACCACAGCAGTCCTTGCAGCAGTCCGCTGGTTTGTCCGCGTGGAACGTTCCGCAAAAACACACGGACCAATCAATCACAAACCCGACTCAGTTTCAGCAGTCGTGTTGACACGTTCCACCCCACGGCTGTGAATTGTGGGATGTGTCGACGATAATGGTTACAGCAGGTGAGAGCCTACAACCGCTGACTTCGGACCCTTCAGATACGCCGGAACAACGCTGTCTCGACGCTCTCTCTTGCTCTCACCAGTCTCCTTCTCCACTTTAGTATATATGAGTATATAGTTTATGTACCCACTCTATTGCAGCTGCTACATACCCACCCACGTGCTGCACCGCCGTTTGCTTGCACTACTGCTGTAGGATACCGCCGAGGCAATTGCCCACTGCTGCTGCTCTCCACCATGAATAATTGTGCTCATGTCTTGGCTGACGATTGCCGCCATTCTGCTCTGTGACCGCTGCTCTTGCCGCCGCTGCCGTTTCCCTGCTGTGTCGGTTGTTGCATGCTTCGGGAAAATCACGGCAGATACCAGCGAGCTTCTTGCTTTTGATTTGTTTGCCTCTGTCAACCCAAAGCAGGTGAAAGATGCCGGCACTATCATGTTAGTCCGCCCGAAGCAGAGTTATCTCCTCAACTCCATGTGAAGTATCAGGCGTGATCGCCTTCGTAAGAATCTGTACGCCAATCATGAGAATCGCGCAACGGCCGAACGCGCCCTGTGTCAATTTTCCCCACGCCCTCCCCTCGGCGTGTGTGCCTTCTTCGTGCTGAACTGTTCGAACTCATAGGAAACGCCTTTGTGTGAGGATGTTGAGGAAACACCTTGATTCGGGTTTGCGCGAAAAGCGAAACAAGGCTTTCTTAACCTTAGCACAATATAGTGCCGTTTGTGATTTCGTTGTCCGCAAGCCATGCCGTAGACATGCCCTACGGTCTTGTCGCGTAGTACGCTTGAAATCACGTACCACCACCTTCAGCATAGGACGCCTGATTTCAGGCATCCGTGGACTGCCGCACAGCAAGAATTCCGTGTGTAGATTCCTCGTCACTACTCCACCCCCAGACCATCCGCCGTATCACCATCCTTCCTGTTAAACGATGGCCTCTGCCCCCAGCATAGCTCTCACCTCGCGTTCGTCTCTCGCGACTGTTGAGGAATTCACGATCATTTGTTAGTACACTCGCACCTCAAGCCAAGTGAGATGCCAGGGTGAGCAGAAACGAAGTCACCATTCGGGTCAATCTTTAGGGGCGCGAAGGGCCCGTTTCAAAAGTCGCGGCCAGCATGAACACAGAGCCGACTTGGCACCCGACAGCGGGTATGCCCCGACGGTAACCTACTCTGCGGAGGTGGTGGCTGCGAGCAACAAGATGATGGTGATATTTTCACGTTCGGGGTGTAAACGAAGGGCTCTGTAAACCCGAAGGTTAAGGTTGAGTAGGAGTTCCCCTGTCTTCTCAGGCAGAGAATGTAGTCAGAGAACCTTCTGTGTGCCGACCTTCAATCAGGCAGTTGGTGGCGTACCCACACCGTGGAATAAGTTTCGGGCTTTTCGGCCCTCGACTGAGGACTTTGGGGTGGCCGTGCGTCACTTCTGCTCCGCCTCCTTAGGCCTTTTGCGCTGCCCTCTTTCTTGGCAAGACACAACAACACTTCATGCGTGCTCAAAATTGTCACTTAACATTGTCGCTTCGAACGTCATTTCTTACTTTCTGTCGTTGCTGCTGATCTCCTGCTCGTGTCGTTTTGGGTAACCGCCCGTTATTTCGCGGACTTCGGAAACACGTCTTCGCCATCAACAAGGATAATGCGATGGACGCGCCGTCTCTACGACAAGATCTGTGAGTTCACCCTTGTATTTGTTAACGGTCACCTTTCCGTGCGATCATCTTTGTCCGACTGACGCCAACCATACGGAAGCCGCCAATCGGGAAGCCGCCAGTCTCGATGCGGCGAAACCGACGCCAAATCGAGCTCCATTCCGCGGCGTCCTCCAACTTGGGAGGGGGCGGCGGAGGAGACTGCTTGTGTACATGCTTCTTGCACTAGCAGGGAGTACCCCTTGAGACCCGCTGGCCAACGCCGCTTTTGTGTCTCCGATGTGATCGCCATGCGTTTGCGCGTTGTGTGCACTCCATTTTTTGTTTGATTCGATAGGATGTAACACTCTCCAGACTACGGCTGGACCGTTTTGGGATAGCTGCATCGTGAGGACGTGGGGCGGTCGATGTGTTCATCTTCAGCACCTGCTTTGCACCTTACAATGACACACCAGATAGAGGTTGATCGAATTGCATTCTCGTACTAAAGCAAGATCTACAACACCCAACGAACGGACTTGGCATCAGTTAAGGTTCCGCGCCGAGGGGGGTACAGGTTCCTCAAAAAGAAAAATCTCACTTCGAGCCCGCGACCTACAGTCGACGGTCCCATAAAAAAAAAAAAAAGTCGACGGTCCATAGCGTTTTTTTCTAGCGCGTGAGCAAGGAGGCCGAGGACAGCTGGAGCGATTGCGCCTTTTTCTCGGACACCTGCTGTATGTTTACTGCTGTTCTCACAGCATGGTCTTATTGGAATGTTCTCGTGTAGTAGGTCTCACTGGATATATCCATGCGCTCATCCGCGCTCGGCTCTTTCATTTCCCACCGCTCGACCCCGCGGAACTATCGACCATGTCATGTCTTAAAGTGAGACAATGTGCGACGGGGAAGGCACAACAGTCCTAATACTGTATTAGTGCATCCGTGTCTACGGGATGGGCCGGAATAGGATAGGTTCCGGCCGGCGTGTCATGTCCCACCCATGTCTCCTGGCTCTTTGGTGAGTCTTCCGTGTTAACCCACCGCTGCGCTCGTGGAGCCTCCTCCTCTGTTACAATGGTATATGTTCTTCGTCGCCCCCCGTCTTGTGTGCTACAGTGCTAACTATTCTGTGTGCCCCCCCCTTTCGTTCGCGCCGCAGTCTCTTTCCAGGTGATGAGCATCCCCCTCATCTACCTCATCATGGCGGCCTCCTGCGCCCTCTTCGCCGCCATGTGCCTCGAGACCTACGGCCTGCGCGTGCGGGAGGTGAACGCGACGCAGTTCGACGAGAAGATGAACCTGCGGGGCCGCCGCTGGAGGGCCGAGCGCAACTTCTACATCTCCTTCATGTTCCTCTCGTGCTCCGTGCTGGCGAACCGGGTGCGGCTCATGCTTAAGGAGGTGGACTCGCTCACCGAGCAGATTCGAGAGATGCGCAAGAGATGACCATCGGTGGAGAAATGACCGGCCGGGGACGGCGTTGCTAGAAGTTTTGGTCATGTGTTTTTGTTTTCACTACAGGGCGGTGTGTCTTACTAGTGGTGCGTTTCGTATTTCGTATTCTATCTGTTGGTGTGTGTTTTTTTGTGATGTTGTGAGGTGTGTTTATTTGTGGTACTGTTTAACGATGCAGCACTCGAGGGACACAAAGAGAGAGAGACGATGACGCCAGTCGTGCCCTTAGCTCCCTCGGCACAAGATGGTACAACTGTCAGTTAACACAAGAAGGCGAGTAGGGTGTTCCAACAACGGGTGGACGTCGACATGGGGAGGGATGATGCCGAGAAGGGTCTATTACATAGCGCAAGAGGTGGTCTTGCACACCTATCGAGTGGTCATGCTTGTACGTACCGGTGACCCCTCTTCGTAACTTGTGGAGTGAGACCATTGACTCGAACAAGCAAGGAAGTGCTTTCATGAACTTCGATGGATGTGATTTCTTTCTTTCGCTGCATACACGACCATCGCCCTCTCGTCTAAACGGGAAAGAGATGGCTCGGTCAACACCAACCCGTCTTAATCTAGCTGAAAGCGAGTGAGTGTATGGGGAAGCCTATCGGCATGGCTACTACTACTGCGGCGCGCGCTCGACACCTGTTTTCATCGGTTTTCTTTCGAGCTTTACTAGCACAAGGGGGATTGATGGCAGCGATGGAGTCAAGATTATGTGCAGTCTTGTTCCTATCGGAAGGAACGACGTGCTGCTCCTGTCCCTTTGTATCGCTCTCTTTTTCTTCGTCGCTCTCGAGCATGTGCATGTTCGTCTAGCCAAGGAAAGCGTGAGGTAATCTTCGGTTGACGCGCGCGGTACGCGTCTTCTTGGCCGCACGAGGAATGATACGACCCTTTTGCTCGCAACATCCTTCTTCGTCCTTGTCTACATCGCCGTGTCGTATTATGGGACATGCTATACGGCACGTTCCGTCTAATTCCGACATCAGGCGCACGCAGCAGCTGGTTTCAGCTTCGTGCCTAGAGGTCGAGCAGCATTCTGCTGGCATGAAATGCGCCTTCGCATGTATGTGCTGCCCCTCTTTTATCGCTTTGCCGAAAAAGGCCTCGTTTTTCTTCTGGGGCATACTACATGCACCGAAAACCGAGGCCTTCCGATCTCCACAAGCTATACGGAAGACAACGGCACTGCTTGTCCGCACTGATCGTCGATACACGAAAGTACTCTGTTAAACGAAAATAAATGTACATAATACGTTCGTCACATGTATGTCCGTTCGTTAGCGGTCGTTTCGAACCCTCCCTCCTCCTGCTCCTTTATTCCTTCAATCGGTTCTCGCCACGACTTCCAACCAGACTCCAAAAAATGCATTCATACACGTGTCATGGGCATCTGCGCACGAGACACTGAGCAAAAACCAAGCAACATGTCCACACCTCTACACTGCGCGGAGAAGCAAGCGACTCTGGTTGCGGCCCGATCCCCAATTTCTGAGTCTCTTGTTGCTTTTGTTCATGTGTCTCAAATGTCTTTTGTGTGTCTCTTTTCTCCGCCCGGCGCTGGCAAAAAAAAACAAGGAAAAAAGATGCCGAAGACCAACAACACGAAAACTGCAAAAAAAAACGGGCGACAAGCATGTATCTTTTTCACGCTGGGACGTGAACGAGAAATAAAATCAGCGCGGTAAAAAGCTACATGCCGGCGCACACAGGAAAGTTCCTTTCAAAAAAAATACCAATCAGAAAACTGCGGGCACCTTTTGTCTCTCTCTCAGATCCCCCGAAAAACTATGGTACTCTTCATCGAACACACCCGCAATACGCTCTTTGCTCTGCGCACGGAGGTGTTTTTGATTGATGGGTGGGTGCATCCCCAGCACAAATGCTTCCTGCTTTATTTTTCTCTTGTCGTCAGCGCCCAAAATTCGCAGGGCAACAAAAAAAGACAGCACACAAGAAATAAAGCATGGAAGCCATTGTGAAATCGAATCTCCTTAAAACACCCACCGAAAAAAGACCCGCTACTCAACACGATCCGCTCGAAACAACGGCTTGCGGTTTGCAAAACCGTCCTTCGCAGGAGGGGGGCGGGGGGGGGGCGGCATCGAGTGTGTGCGAGGACGAACGTACCCCCGCCCCGCTTCAAGCAACCTACACTATCGCCGCCTCCCCTTCTCACCAACTAGACAGATAAACCGAAAGCTTGGGTGGGAGCGGGGGAGTCCAGAGAGAGAGAGGCGGCAACGAGGGCATAATAACCAAAAGAGCCGAAGAGCGACAAACTCGGGCACAACGAAATCAGCCTGGTTCTAGTAATTCCGCGGTAGACAAGACATGCAGATAGATACAGCAGCGGCTGGTTCTCAACGTGCAGGCAGGCCGCCAAGAGTTCTCACCAATCGCTGGTGCCGTTCGTTGTGTTTGTGTTAAACTCCCGCTCTTTCCCTAGGGCACGCGCATTCAATCGACCCGCGCCCCCCCTACCCCTGTACACTTGCTGCCCCGCCCACTCCCCCTCTCCGGCCTGGCTCGCCCCACTCGGTAAAACACGCCATTTTTTTCTTCAAGCAACTCAACAAAGTCCTCATGCAACACATATCTCACCAACAAGCATGTGACAGCTAGTGATGCATCTCGCCGAGGGAGCCCGCACGCCGCAGCGACTAGCCCCTCTTTTGCTTTGCAGGGCCAAGGGTGCAGGTTGGCCAGGAGCGGTGCGACAAGATCAACAGCAACAACCACCACAACAAACACTCGATCGATAGGTCGACCAAGGGAGATAGG